TTAAAAAAAAAAAAAATGTTGATTAATTATGAAATTATAAAAAATATTAATAACATTCCACCGATGAGGCCACTCGGTCATTTGACGGCAGGAAAGGGCTACGAATATCTAAATTTAAATGTATCAGTTCGGCTGAATCTGAAGCACAAACCTATAATTTCCAATACAAATCATCACAATCACAACATTTACATTTATATTTACGTCATTTAGCAGACGCTCTTATCCAGAGCGACTTACAAATAGGTGCATTCACCTTATAGCCAGTGGGATAACCACTTAACAATGTTTATTTTATTTTATTTTGTTATTGTTTTTTATTTTTCATTATTTTTTTCTTTTTTGGGGGGGGGGGGGGGGGGGGGGGGGGGGGTGGAGTAAAGGGGGGGGGGGGGGGGTAGAAGGATTACTTTATCCTATCCCAGGTATTCCTTAAAGAGGTGGGGTTTCTTAAAGAGGTTGGGTGTACACCCAAGTAATTAGGAATAATTTGATGATGATACACTGCATGAAGGCATCCATTTTAGGAGACGTGGACAATGTGTTAATGCAAGACAAGGTGGGAGGAGACGCTTTGTGTCACTCTGGTCTTCAGGGCAAAACTATGAGGCTTTGCAACCATGTGACTTGCAGAGCGGGTGATTACCATGGAGAAGAGCAACAGATACATTCTGTTAACATCGATCCTCTCCGACAGCTACATCAGTATTCACTGCTTATGCATTGTGCAGACACACTCTAAACAAAGGCATTGACCAAGAGCAAAGTCTGAGAGAGGCTTGTACAGAATGTGCTAGTCTACTCTAATGGTGATTTTCAGACATCCCTCCAACAATCTCTGATGAAACGCTACAGAGCAGTATACAGTTGAAGTCGGAAGTTTACATACACCTTAGCCAAATACATTTAAACTCAGTTTTTCACATTTCCTGACATTTTTACATTTTAGTCATTTAGCAGACGCTCTTATCCAGAGCGACTTACAGTTAGTGAATACATTTTTTTTTTTTATACTGGCCCCCCGTGGGAATCAAACCTACAACCCTGGCGTTGCAAACGCCATGCTCTATCAACTGAGCTACATCCCTGCCGGCCATTCCCTCCCCTACCCTGGACCAATTGTGCGCCACCCATGAGTCTCCCGGTCGCGGCCGGCTGCGACAGAGCCTGGATTTGAACCAGGATCTCTAGTGGCACAGTTAGCACTGTGATGCAGTGCCTTAGACCACTGCGCCACTCAGGAGTTCAACATTTAATCCTAGTAAAAATTCCCTGTCTTAGGTCAGTTAGGAACACCACTTTATTTTAAGAATGTGAAATGTCATAATAATAGTAGAGAGAATTATTTATTTCAGCTTTTATTTCTTTCATCACATTCCCAGTGGGTCAGAAGTTTACATACACTCAATTAGTATTAGGTAGCATTGCCTTTAAATTGTTTAACTTGGGTCAGATGTTTCGGGGAGCCTTCCACAAGCTTCCCACAATAAGTTGGGTGAATTTTGGCCCATTCCTCCTGACAGAGCTGGTGTAACTGAGTCAGGTTTGTAGGCCTCCTTGCTCGCACACGCTTTTTCAGTTCTGCCCACACATTTCCTATAGGATTGAGGTCAGGGCTTTGTGATGGCCACTCCAATACCTTGACTTTGTTGTCCTTAAGCCATTTTGCCACAACTTTGGAAGTATGCTTGGGGTCCTTGTCCATTTTGAAGACCCATTTGCTACCAAGCTTTAACTTCCTGACTGATGTCTTGAGATGTTGCTTCAATATATCCACATAATTTTCCTTCTTCATGATGCCATCTATTTTGTGAAGTGCACCAGTCCCTCCTGCAGCAAAGCGCCCACACAGCATGATGCTGCCACCTCTGTGCTTCACGGTTGGGATGGTGTTCTTCGGCTTGCAAGCAACCCCCTTTTTCCTCCAAACATAACGATGGTCATTTTGGCCAAACAGTTCTATTTTTGTTTCATCAGACCAGAGGACATTTCCCCAAAAAGTAGGATCTTTGTTCCCATGTGCAGTTGCAAACCGTAGTCTGGCTTTTATATGGCAGTTTTGGAGCAGTGGCTTCTTCCTTGCTGAGCAGCCTTTCAGGTTAATGTCAATATAGGACTCGTTTTACTGTGGCTATAGATACTTTTGTACCTGTTTCCTCCAGCATCTTCACAGGTCCTTTGCTGTTGTTCTGGGATTGATTTGCACTTTTCGCACCAAAGTACGTTCATCTCTAGGAGACAGAACACGTCTCCTTCCTGAGCGGTATGACGGCTGCGTGGTCCCATGGTGTTTATACTTGCGTACTATTGTTTGTACAGATGAACGTGGTACCTTCAGGCGTTTGGAAATTGCTCCCAAGGATCAACCAGACTTATGGAGGTCTACAATTTCTTTCTGAGGTCTTGGCTGATTTCTTTTGATTTTCCCATGATGTCAAGCAAAGAGGCACTGAGTTTGAAGGTATGCCTTGAAATACATCCACAGGTACACCTCCAATTGACAAATGATGTCAATTAGCCTATCAGAAGCTTCTAAAGCCATGACATCATTTTCTGGAATTTTCCAAGCTGTTTAAAGGCACATAATAATAAATAATCTGTCTGTAAACAATTGTTGGAAAAATTATTTGTGTCATGCACAAATCAGATGTCCTAACCGACTTGCCAAAACTATAGTTTGTTAACAAGAAATTTGTGGAGTGGTTGAAAAAAGAGTTTTAATGACTCCAACCTAAGTGTATGTAAACTGCCGACTTCAACTGTATATCAGTACATCACATCATCATATGTTACATCCAGGCACAACGCCAGGTGGTATGAGACTGGAGATCTGTCATGCTATTTTATTAGTGTACAACTTACTTCCCTACGAGAGATAAAGATTTTTTACATTGGTTCCTTTTTTACATTTAGCAGATGCTCTTATCCAGAGCAAATTACATTATTGTACTTTTTCCCGTACTGGTCCCCCATGGGAATCAAACCCACAACCCTGGCGTTGCAAGCGCCATGCTCTACCAACTGAGCCACAAGTGTTTGATTAGAGTACGGATACTGAGAGCCCATCCCTGATCCTATAAGATTGAGAAAGCGGGAGATAGAAAATGGGTTATCTTATGGAAGAAAATAATGAATGTGGCTCTGGAGAAGAAGCATATGAATGTAGGGAGAGGTAGAGAAAGAGAGAATGTCTCTACTGGGGTTGGGATGGCAGGCCTACTAAAACTGATTCTGGGTCAGGGCTGACACAATAGGGAAGAATCTGTGGGCAAATTTGGATGAAATCCTCCAGCCTCCGCCATTATCACCTTCTCCAGTGTATACTATTCATCCTCTTGGATGCCCTTCACTGAATGTTCTAACAACTGTAGGAATCATGGGAGGTTGTAAATTGATGTCCCTTGTCTGAAATAATAGGACTTCCAAAGTGTCTTTCACAAAGAACACTGTGTCCTATTGTGTCCCAGAAAATATGTTAGAACATGCAAGGCACCTCTTTATAAGAGGTTTGAATATACTGTGATGTTTTTTTCATATCCCATATGTGTTGTGTTTCCCACATTTTTATAATTTGTACCAAAACTAACCCTGTCGGATTATTGTGATCTTCTTATTGGCGTCAGTAGGGGGGGAAGGGGTTACCAGTTGCTAGGTGACAACAAGGAGACGAACAAAGCAGTCTCTTGCTCATAGTATGTAAGTCATTATCAGTACATGGAACTGGCCTTAAGGTGTTCCAGGTAATGTTATTTTCCAAAAGAAGTCCTGTGAAAAACAACTCACTCAGTCTCGTAGCTTCTGATGTTCGTAAGAGTTAAATCATAAAGTAACTCCATCACTTTAAACCCAAAGCCAGTAACATCTTTCTCATTAATGCTGAGAGAATGGATTAACAACATCAAAGTGAACAAAAAAATCACAACAAGCATTTTACTACCAACAGTAATACTAGAACTACAAGAAAAAGCAAGGAATTGTAAAAACATTTATGAAGAATAGTAAACTAGAAAAAACAATGGCAGCCGCACTAACAACTTGCATCTTTTGTCTTATGGATGCTGTTGGTTTCAAACATTTCAATAAGAGTAAGTTTTAATAACTTCTCCCTCCTGAATCACAAGCTATGTTTCCATTAACTTGTCCAGTGATTTTTTTGTCGACATTTAGATAGAAAATAGATGAGACAATTGCCTGCTACGGTGCGTTTCCATTGAACTGTCTTGTGTCTATAAACACAGCTGGATGTAATGACGTCACACCCACGCCAAAAAATGTTTTATTAAAAAATATATATAGAATAATAATGAAGTGGTTGAAGTGTTTCCATTATCCATTTAGGCAAATTGTTGACAGCCTGTATGCCCTCCCACCTATCCATTTCATGTCACAGGTAGCCCGCAAAAGCCAGCATGGATAGAATGCAAGAATTGACATATCTGCCATATTCTAATAATCTCATTTGCCAATGTATCACCATGATCCATGCCATGGTGAAACTTGCACTCCTGTAGATGTGAAATAATTGGATGGTTTAACTTGCATCCAGCCAACCAGAAAAACAAGGAGAAGCAATTCAGGCATTCTTGAAAGTCAGAACAATCCTTGTCCTGAAAAGAAACATTTTGAATAGTGAAAAAGTAGATTTAGCAAGAGTGGAGCTTTATAGTTACGTGATGACATCACGTGCCCCATGTACCTTCAAAATGATTCTGCAAACATAATTTATTCAAAAAACACAGTTTCCATCATCATTTGTCTTTTAAAAAAGAAAAATCCACCCCTGTCAAACAGATCAAAATATTGTTGATATTTAGTACATTTCTCCCATAGCTGCCGTTTCCATCACACGTCTCAATGTTTTTAGTTGTTGCGACATTGCTTTTGTCTAATAAACCTGGGTCAATGGAAACCTGCCTATTGAAAGGTATCAGGAACCGTAGATGACTGATCTGTTGATTTTCAACAGGCACAATTCATTCCGCCGCCATCTGCCTCGCCAGATGAACGTGACGAGTGTGGACTTCAGCATGGACATGCTCCCCATCCGCCAGTCGTCCACCGTAAGCATCGGCCGCATCAAGCCCGAGCTCTACAAGCAGAAGTCTGTGGACTCTGAGGACGGGACCCAGGAGCCGGTGGAGACGTGCGGTAAGCTGAGCTTCTCCCTGCTCTACGACTACGAGGAACAGGCGCTGATGGTCACGATTCTCAAAGCCCTGGAACTGCCGGCCAAGGACTTCACTGGCACCTCCGACCCTTACGTCAAGATCTACCTGCTGCCAGAGAGGCAGAAGAAGTTCCAGACGCGTGTCCACCGCAAGACGCTCAACCCCACATTCGATGAGGCCTTCTTCTTCCCTGTGGAGTACGACCAGCTGTGCAACCGCAAACTGCACTTCAGTGTCTACGACTTTGACCGCTTCACCAGCCATGACATGATCGGCGAGGTGGTGGTGGACAACCTCTTTGAGCTCTCCGACCTCTCGAGGGAAGCAGTGGTGTGGAAGGACATTCACGCCGCGACCACGGTGAGTGGGCTGGGCCTCACCTAGCTGAGATAGGTGTAGTACATGGAGGATATCAGTATGTGTGGAGATTATTGGAACAGTGATCTCCGCAACTGATCGTTCTGTAAGTCGCTCTGGATAAGAGCGTCCGCTAAATGACTCAAAAATGTCAATGGCAATGATGGTGGTGTAGATTTCAGGGTGGAGCTGTGGTCAGTGTGTCGTAGTTAACATCAGCATAGTTTCAAATGGGGTCGTGCACTGCACATTATCTGAATTATTTAGGGAAACACTTGACAATGATCTCTCCATTTTCAATTATTTGATTGGATGAGGTTCTAAGTCCTGGAATCATCAGTGCTGTATTACATGACTGGTAAATGGCATGTGTTGCATAACCCCATTGCCAGGAACAGTGAATTTAGAATCCAAGCACCCACACAACACCTCCGAAAACTGAAGTACACACTGTAGACTTAAATATAGCCATGGGCACAATTCTCCTTTTTCCTCACCTTTATCCCCTCACTGACATACTTGAGTATGATAGTGCAGTTTTATCTGAGCCCACACACTTCTTACGCCTCGGTAGCTTTATCACAGTTTGTTTACTCAACAGTTTATGAATATATGTGTGTGTTCTGGTGGTATTTATTGTATCTGATGGTCATGGAGATGGATTAATGGTTCATTAATCAGTTGATCTCTGAATGGTAAACAGAACAAGAGTGGATCAACTTGAGAGAAAGTGCACTGTGGATTTCAGATGAATCATCAAGAGCACAATTGAGCCCTAACCTCTACAGGTACTATTTGACTCTGGTAAACAAAGTAACACCAGTTTATTTCACATTATACAGGCAGGTTTAGGTGGGTTTAAAGAAGACTGGGTTCTTAGCCATTGGAGACGGACTGGCTGGGCATTAATGCAGTTAGCCCATGTCAATAGCCATGGTGTTTACTTCAATGTGTAGTTTGTCTCCAGGAAGTTTTTATGTGTTACATAATGTTTACTGTGTGCTGTGAGGAAATTACACTTTCAAAAGCTTGAGCATCCATACACACAACATCAAGTTTACTGCTACTTTGACTGTGGTTGATAGTGTTGAATATGAGAGCTACAATTGAGATGGGCTATTGAATATAATGTGAGACTTCTTTCAATATTGCCTACAGCATAGAAGAAAAATGTAGCAATTATTGTAAATATTCATGCTTCTATTTTGTCTCCCTGTGGTGTTGTTGATGGTTAGACGTATCTTTGGTCTGGTGTTCAATTGTTATTTATGTCTATCTTGGGTTCATTTTATCTCACTTTGCTGCATTGTTTTTGTTTATACTGTCTCTGGGCAATTACATTGCCAGAACTTCCCTCCAACAGAGGGGAATGAGGTTAAGGATGTTTGAATGGATAATGACTCATAGCAAATGCAGTTTGCCATTCATTTTATTTTGACAGTGTTTCATTCCACCTTTTCTAATTTACATTAATGAGAGTCCTTTCAAAAGTGGCATCCTTTATGCAATTTATTTGGCGATGATCATTTACTTGGCGATGACTTTACTTGTCACTGTCTGACAACAATGAATTGATTATTCTTGAGAGAAACTTGTTCTCCTGATGTTTCAGACTTCTGTCATGTCGTGCTCTGGTGTACCAAAGTAGTGTGTACTTTGTGTTACCTCCTTCCTTGAATTCTCTTAAAAAATGAGTATGCAACTACATATGAACAGAAACAACACGGGAAATTCAGAGGTTAGCCTAATTCGAAAAACCCTCTGTGTATTTACACTTCAAGCTATTTTCAATTTAATGTGGAAGCAAAATTGCATGACAGTAATTTGCCACAACAAATGACATTAATATGCCCTAGCCATGCCTCACATTCAGCTGAAGGTTATTATGTGTTGTATTTCAGAACCTAATTTCCCTGGGCTAGATTGATGTATTTTTATGCATGTGACCTTTTGTGTCAATATCATGGGTAGAAACAAGTCAGGGAAATGGGAGGGGTGCCAATGCCTAAAACAACCTGTGACCTGCCTATGAGGGTCACGGTATGTTTGATGAGACGTTGAGTTTTTCCCGCCTTCAGTTGTTTGATTGTGGGTGTCCGTGCTGAGGTTGACACAAAGGCAGTTGGAGCCCACAATGGTTAGGTGGGTGGGGGTGGTGCTCTGGAACCCACCATGGCTGGAGAGCTGTGGTGGTATTGACTCTCTGTTATGATGTGCAGAACATCTGCTGAATGGCCAGAGGAACTGGGCTAGTGAAGTCCTATTGGCTGTATGAGAGAGCTTCTAGGGCTGGGAAGGCATCCTCTGTTTCACATGTTACATTGTTATTGTGAAACTCCTACATGTCAATACATTGATGACACTGGAAGACTTTGCACAAACGTATCTCAAGTAAGGATTCTGTCCTTGGAGAGCAACTCTTATGCAACCCTTATTCTAAGTGTATTTTTATATGGTGACATAGCTCTATTTCTAACTACACTCTTAGTAAAAAAGGTACTATCTGGAACCTAAAACGGTTCTTCGGCTGTCCCCATAGGAGAACCCTTTGAATAACCATTTTTGGCACCAGGTAGAACCCTTTTTGTTCCAGGTAGAACCCTATTGGGTTACATGTAGAATCCTTTCCCCAGAGAGTTTTACATGGAACCCAAAATAATTTTACCTACAACCAAAAAGGGTTCTACCTGGAACCAAAAGGGTTATCCTATGGGGAAAGCCAAAGAACCCCTTTGGAAGAGTATATGTAAACACACTAAACAAACATCAGTGCACTAGGGAGATGCCTCCCAGTCAGTCCTCTGTGTTTTCTGGTTGGCCAATCAAATCTTATCTCTGGAGTGCCACCTTAGGGGACTTTTTATTGACTCCGATTCAGTATCAATACAAGCACACCACGTCAGTACATCAAGTAATGTTCTTCTCTTTCAAGAGTCCATCTGATGCCCTTTGCTCACACTTTTTTGCCCTTTTGCATTCAGTGGTGCTGCAGTCTAAACTGATCCATAACACACATTGTATTGGGGTGATTATTCAGGACACTAGAACAAATAAAGACCGTAACTTTGGGGATTTTCACAAATTGTAATCCAGAGAATTGGTCCTTTGGAGGAAGAATTATTTACATATATTTGACATTTGTATTTTAAAGCATATATGTGAAATTATTAATTGAAGATGGAACATTTGTGAAATGTTGGCCTTACCCAGGCCTGTAGGTGCTACAAAGCTTGGTGTCATATGAAGCTTTACAACTTGCTCTGTAATATGAGTAGTATTTTGGTTTCAATAAAAAAAATGACATACATTTATGAATGTAGAAAAATACAAACATTAATATTGAAAATATAAAAATTTTGATTTGGCACAATTTTCTATATACAGTGGGGGAAAAAAGTATTTAGTCAGCCACCAATTGTGCAAGTTCTCCCACTTAAAAAGATGAGAGAGGCCTGTAATTTTCATCATAGGTACACGTCAACTATAACAGACAAATTGAGAAAAGAAAATCCAGAAAATCACATTGTAGGATTTTTAATGAATTTATTTGCAAATTATGGTGGAAAATAAGTATTTGGTCACCTACAAACAAGCAAGATTTCTGGCTCTCACAGACCTGTAACTTCTTCTTTAAGAGGCTCCTCTGTCCTCCACTCGTTACCTGTATTAATGGCACCTGTTTGAACTTGTTATCAGTATAAAAGACACCTGTCTACAACCTCAAACAGTCACACTCCAAACTCCACTATGGCCAAGACCAAAGAGCTGTCAAAGGACACCAGAAACAAAATTGTAGACCAGGCTGGGAAGACTGAATCTGCAATAGGTAAGCAGCTTGGTTTGAAGAAATCAACTGTGGGAGCAATTATTAGGAAATGGAAGACATACAAGACCACTGATAATCTCCCTCGATCTGGGGCTCCATGCAAGATCTCACCCCGTGGGGTCAAAATGATCACAAGAACGGTGAGCAAAAATCCCAGAACCACACGGGGGGACCTAGTGAATGACCTGCAGAGAGCTGGGACCAAAGTAACAAAGCCTACCATCAGTAACACACTACGCCGCCAGGGACTCAAATCCTGCAGTGCAAGATGTGTCCCCCTGCTTAAGCCAGTACATGTCCAGGCCCGTCTGAAGTTTGCTAGAGTGCATTTGGATGATCCAGAAGAGGATTGGGAGAATGTCATATGGTCAGATGAAACCAAAATATAACTTTTTGGTATAAACTCAACTCGTCGTGTTTGGAGGACAAAGAATGCTGAGTTGCATCCAAAGAACACCATACCTACTGTGAAGCATGGGGGTGGAAACATCATGCTTTGGGGCTGTTTTCTTCAAAGGGACCAGGACGACTGATCCGTGTAAAGGAAAGAATGAATGGGGCCATGTATCGTGAGATTTTGTGAGATTTTGAGTGAAAACCTCCTTCCATCAGCAAGGGCATTGAAGATGAAACGTGGCTGGGTCTTTCAGCATGACAATGATCCCAAACACACCGCCCGGGCAATGAAGGAGTGGCTTCGTAAGAAGCATTTGAAGGTCCTGGAGTGGCCTAGCCAGTCTCCAGATCTCAACCCCATAGAAAATCTTTGGAGGGAGTTGAAAGTCCGTGTTGCCCAGCGACAGCCCCAAAACATCACTGCTCTAGAGGAGATCTGCATGGAGGAATGGGCGAAAATACCAGCAACAGTGTGTGAAAACCTTGTGAAGACTTACAGAAAACGTTTGACCTGTGTCATTGCCAACAAAGGGTATATAACAAAGTATTGAGAAACTTTTGTTATTGACCAAATACTTATTTTCCACCATAATTTGCAAATAAATTCATTAAAAATCCTACAATGTGATTTTCTGGATTTTTTTTTCTCATTTTGTCTGTCATAATTGACGTGTACCTATGATGAAAATTACAGGCCTCTCTCATCTTTTTAAGTGGGAGAACATGCACAATTGGTGGCTGACTAAATACTTTTTCCCCCACTGTATATACAGTATATGCTCTATGGACATATCAAAGTTCCAGAGTGGGATCTGTGTTAGTTTTAAAGTTATGGCCAATTCTATACAGAGACATTGGCATAGAGGCAATGTAACCAGGGCTCTAAATGAAAATGTTTAGTTTGTAGCACTGGTGCTCGCAACTTAAAAAGTTAGGAGCACCACATAAACATTTTGAGAAACCAGAAAATACAATAAAAAAATTGATTGAGATACAGCCTTTATTGAGCCTATTTGAATTCTAACTACTTTTGAAGCACATATTGTATCCTATAAACTAATATGTAACCATGTAAAGACATTTGTTTATTATAAAATCTAAAATGTTGATACAAATACCTGCCATTGAAATTACAAAGTAATTTGTGGAATATTAGCTTTCTACGTTGTGTAAACAGCACTGTTTCCTATGGAGATGCTCAGTGACATTCAGTGATGACATACAGATCTGTCATTCATGCATTGCTATTGTTGATGATCACAAGTTTACTGGAGAACGGAGACCAAGTAGAGACTTTCGGACAAGGTGGATAATTGTATAATATAAGGCAGTTTATTCAGAGGTAAAGATATCTGTAAATAGCGTGCACGGACCCCTTCGTCAATCTCGTAGGGAGATATCTGAGAGAGCGAGCCCCTAAACATTGTGTGCTGACATTTTATACAATAAAATGAAGTAGGTTGATTCTAGTAGTTCTGATCTTCTGATTGGTCCTGATGAGTTGGGCGAGGTCACCTCCAGGCTAGTGTCACTGTTGCATTGGCTCTGAGTCGGGTTCTCTGTCTTCAGATGTTCAGCCTAAGAGAAGGGGGTTTTTGTGTGTGTGTGTGCTTAACAATGATGATGTGTGTGTGTGTGTGTGTGCGTGTGTGTGTGTGTGTGTGTGTGTGTGTGTATGTGTGTGTATGTTTAACAATGATGATGTGTGTGTGTGTGTGTGTGTGTGTATGTGTGTGTGTGTGTGGGGGTGTGTGTGTGTGTGTCCTCAGCGCAAGAACTCGTGAGTTGGGAGAACTGAGAGACCTATGGCGTGGGTGTTGTCCATAGCCACCTGCTGATAAGGCCGACAAGATAGAAGTCTTTTGTGCATTGTATTAAATACAAAGGCCCAACACAAGATGGGTCATGCACAAGATTTTAGTCAGACCAAGCTATAACATTATATATTTACTACGACACTATGATCATTGATCTCCTGAAGAAGCTATCCCTTTTCCATTCTTTCTGTGCCCCCAAATGTTTGGATATACTGGTAAAGCTACCAGGTTGTTAACTAGCTAGCTAATGAGGTAACATGACTGAACAAGGTGTTAATGGCCCGTGAGTAGTTTAAGAACGGCCCACAACATGAGGCGCGTTCATCTGCCCAGGTGTTGGCTACGTATGTCAGATCTTTCAATGCTTGGATAGGTATTTTACGTATCAGTTTACCACGTCAATATGTTATAGTAATCTGGTGCCCGGCGGCACATTCGATGACATGGCACGCAACCATTGGTTGATGCATGCAACGTCTGAGCATGGTTATGAATGCAAAATGCGTCCTGACAATGGAGCTGCATCCAGCTGCAGCGCCAATGTACAATAGAAGGAAAAAATTGTAGCGCTGGTAATATGGGTCACAACTTTTGAACGGTTTGGGCAAGAGACAAGCAGTTTTCTCTGTAGTAATTGTACAACCAACAGGGTCACGAATCTCTCGGGCACTTGGACACAGCGGTACAGCGAAGCCTAATCATTACAACAATTATCTGGCAGGTTTTATTTCTAGGTGCACTGGTGCTCCCAAATAAAAATTCACACAGCTAAATATTTCAAAGTGGTAGTGCTTTAGAGCCCTGAATGTAACCAATCACAGCCCTCCTTTTACTTGTATCTTTGCACATCCTGCAAATCACTAGCAGTAGGCGACATTCACTCTGTTGGTAATGTTTACAAATTGGATTTGTTCTAGTTTCGTGATGAATCACCCATTGTAAGAAAATCTATATGTTCTCTCTCAGTTTTGAGGACACCTCTGGGTGTTCATACTTTGTCTAAAGCAATTTGGGCTAATTGCTTTCCTAAAAGAGTTCTACTACAGCAACAGTGACCTTTCCTTGATGCAGAGTGTTCTCCTTGTCTTTCTCCAGGAGAGTGTGGATCTGGGGGAGATCATGTACTCTCTATGCTACCTGCCCACGGCAGGACGGATGACCCTGACCGTCATCAAGTGCCGGAACCTCAAAGCCATGGACATCACTGGCTCCTCAGGTAACAACCACAACAACAACAATACAAAACTCTCAGCCATTTAGGCTGGACCTTAAAACATGATGGTTCTCTGAAAAACAATGAGGGATGACTGTAAAGCTCTAAAGGAGCAAGCAATGAATCAGAAGGCAGAGTAACGTGAGGCAGCATGCTGTGCCTTAGAGTGGGCAGGGACATACTTCTTTCATGTGTTTTCACTGTTTGTGGTGAAATTGTAATAGAAAATACATTTGACTTACCTTGTCAAAACAATATAACTGAATTTAGTCTAACTGAATATTTGAATGTTGCCATTACCTGCAATCTACACGACTGACTTCACAGAGATGCTATTTGTGCAACACAGATCCCTATGTAAAGGTATCCCTGCTCTGTGACGGACGGAGGCTGAAGAAGCGGAAAACCACCACCAAGAAAAGCACTCTGAACCCGGTGTACAACGAGGCCATAATCTTTGATATCCCCCCAGAGAACGTGGAACAAGTCAGCCTGTCCATCATGGTGATGGACTATGACCGGTGAGTAAAACTATTAAAAGAAACACCCACAATTCAACACATATGGTGGTCATAAGCATGCTTGTACAGTACATACATAGTCAACAAACAAGTTTTTAAAAAATGTTTGCGTCAAAGGAGGTAGGCGGAATGAGATATGTTCTAACTTTGAGTTGAACTTGAACTGAGGTGAACAGAACATTTCACTCAAATCCTGCAATCTAATCATGACCACATAATTGACTGTAATGACCAAACCTAGGTTTAGTATTATTTCATCAAACTAGCATTCAGCATTTAGGTGTCATATTTCTTTGGTGCAGTCAAGATATTGTGTGTGTGTGTGTGTGTGTGTGTGTGTGTGTGTGTGTGTGTGTGTGTGTGTGTGTGATGCCCACAGGGTGGGCCACAACGAGGTTATAGGTGTGTGTCGGACGGGGCCAGATGCTGAGGGCCTGGGGAGGTACCACTGGAACGAGATGCTGGCCTACCCACGCAAGCCCATTACTCACTGGCATGCCCTGGGAGAGGTAGAGGACTGTTCGTTTTTTTCCCTCAAAGTAAGAGGAGGTACAAGTCAATTGCAGGACTTTCCAGAGCTCCCCCAATGCTTCGCTGCATCACTCTGAGAGGGCAGATAAAGCCAGCGGTTTTGCAGCCAATCATAGAGCTTGGGGAAATAACCCTGTCAATTTCAACAGAGATGTATAACACTGCAGCATGAAAAAGATGCAAGGATGTTGTCTGTACTAGAATAAAATACCAATTTGATTCTAGAAATGTAAGGGCTAGTTTGAACTATACTGAACAAAAATATAAACGCAATATGTAAAGTGTTGGTCCCATGTTTCATGAGCTGAAATAAAATATCCCAGACATTTTCCATATGCACAAAAAGCTTATTTCTCTCAAATATTGTGCACAAATTTGTTTACATCCCTGTTAGTGCTCATTTCTCCTTTGCCAAGATAATCCATCCACCTGACAGGTGTGGCATATCAAGAAGCTGATTAAACAGCATGATCATTACACAGGTGCACCTTGTGCTGGGGACAATAAAAGGCCACTCTAAATTTGTCACACAACACAATGCCACAGATGTCTCAAGTTTTGGGGCAGTGTGCAATTGGCATGCTGTATGCAGGAATGTCCACCAGAGCTGTTGCCAGATAATTTAATGTTAATTTCTCTATCATAAGGCGCCTCCAACGTCATTTTAGAGCATTTGGCAGCACGTCCAACCAGCCTCACAACCGCAGACCACCTGTAACCACGCCAGCCAAGGACCTCCACATCCGGCTTCTTCAGCTACGGGATCCTCTGACACCAGCCACCTGGACAGCTGATGAAACTGTGGGTTTGCACAACTGAAGAATTTCTGCAAAAACTGTCAGAAACCGTCTCAGGGAAGCTCATCGTCATCTGACTGCAGTTCGGCGTCGTAACCTACTTCAGTGGGCAAATGCTCACCTTCGAAGGCCACTGGCACGCTGGAGAAGCTCTTCATGTATTAATGCCGGTTTCAACTGTACCGGGCAGATGGCAGACAGCGTGTATGGCGTTGTGTGGGCGAGCGGTTTGCTGATGTCAACCTTGTGAACAGAGTGCCCCATGGTGGTGGTGGGGTTATGGTATGGGCAGGCATAAGCTACAGACAACGAACACAGTTGCATTTTATCGATGGCAATTTGAATGCACAGAGATGCAGTGACGAGATCCTGAGGCCCATTGTCATGTCATTCATCCGCCACCATCACCTTATGTTTCAGCATGATATTGCAAGGCCCCATGTCACAAGAATCTGTACACAATTCCTAGAAGCTGAAAATGTCCCAGTTCTTTGATGGCCTGCATACTCAACAGACATGTCACCCATTGAGCATGTTTGGAATGCTCTGGATCGACGTGCACGACAGCGTGTTCCAGTTCCCGCCAGTATTCAGCAACTTCGCACAGCCATTGAAGAGGAGTGAGACAACATTCCACAGGCCACAATCAACAGCCTGATCAACTCTATGCGAAGGAGATGTGTTGCGTTGCATGAGGCAAATGGTGGTCACACCACATACTGACTGGTTTTCTGATCCAGGCCTCTACCTTTTTTTAAAAAGCTATCTCTGACCAACAGAGGCATAATCTGTATTCTCAGTCATGTAAAATCCATAGATTAGGGCATAATGAATTTATTTAAATTGACTGATGTCCTTATATGAACTGTAACTCAGTAAAATCTTTGAAATTGTTGCATGTTGCATTATATTTTTGTTCAGTATAGAAGCATTTAAAGTAATTGGAGAGTTGGTGCCCTGATATCCACCCAGGATGGTTGGATGGGGGGACTAGCTTGATTTCTACGGTGTGGTCCCATAACTGGGGGCCACATATTATGGTGGTGGACCATCCCCTTTTCCTTGCTCTTCAGGAGTAGTAGAGAATGTTTGTAGATTGTGCTATTAGAACTCACAATCTATGAACACAAGACGATATCCTTGAAAAATGCATGAAACATTCCAATCTTTATTATCCAGAGAAATCCTTATTGACAGTAGTTGAATTTAGACCCATCGATTGCATAGGGGAAAGACTTCACCTTGTGGTTGTGCATTGAACAAAGAGCCTTGTCATTCTATTTTGCTTGAACAAAGAAACAAGAATTGGAGGAGTACTCAGCCTATGACATGGCGCTCCTTTAAATCTAAAATACCTCAAAGTAGCCTAACATGGAAATAAGTGTTCTTAATGTTCTAAACTGCTGAAGGATAAAAATATATCGTTAATGCTTTCTTGAATCCAGGTACTTTAGAAAATTGATATTTAAACACAAAGCAATAGTAGCTTTGGAGACCTAGCCAACTCTTGTAGAACTAACCCTTGTTAATTGTCTGTTTTGTCCACAGTGGCCAGGAAGAGCGACAAGCTTTGAGAGCCAGGGGTCTTGTCCTTCCCCCAAACCTCCACAGACTCCATAGGGAACACAAATGGAGCCATGTGACCTGATAGCAGATTAACTAGATGTGTACAGCTGTAGTAACCACAATTCTGTCACTTACAGAAATGTCCAATGCCAACATCCGACTCATCCAGATGACAGCATTATAGGTTGTGTTTCATCATCTAGGCCTATTGCATTTTACAACAAAGTATGCTGGAAAGCTGGCAATGTCGTCTTAATCATCATCAATCAGGACTCTACATTACAGCGTTATGACACAAACAACATTGGCAATGAAATTATGTCTTGCCGGATGGGTTAGCCTACTTTTCAGTTAAAGGCCCAGCGCACTCAAAATTCTGTTTTTCCTGTGTTTTGTATCATTGTACAACAGCGAGGCATGTAGTAACCCAAAAAGGTGTTGAACAAATCAAAATTATATATACTTTTCAGTTAAAGGCCCAGCGCAGTCAAAATTCTGTTTTTCCTGTGTTTTGTATCATTGTACAACAGCTGAGGAAACTAACACCGTAAAAGTGTGGAAAACAAATCGTGATCGTTGCTGGTTGAAAACACAATCAAATTGGTTAATAGACCAATAACAAAGATAATTCCAAACCTCTCTGCCAATAACAGCTAGTTCTCAGTTTTCCACCTCCCCACTCAGGCCACTCCCAGACAGTCCTTGCTTGAGAAATAGTTTTTTTCTAAAAAGCCATTTCAATGGAAATCTATTACAGTAAGGTACTTAATTTTTACCCAGAAATTACTTGATATTGATATAAAAATGGTTGCATTGGGCCTTTAAAAAAAGTATAAAATATGGCCTGATTTTGAAATGCCGTTATGGACAACACATGAGAATGCTTTGTTCGTGGGATCACGAAATCCTGGGAAAATGTTACATTTAATGTAAATGTACATACAGTACCAGTCAAAAGTTTGGACACACCTACTCATTCAAGGGTTTTTCTTTATTTTTACTATTTTCTACATTGTAGAATAATAGTGAAGACATCAACACTATGAAATAACACATATGGAATCATGTAGTAACCAAAAAAAGTGTTGAACAAATCAAAATATATTTTATATTTGAGATTCTTCAAATAGCCACCCTTTGCCTTGATGACAGCTTTGCACACAACCAACTTCACCTGGAATGATTTTCCAACAGTCTTGAAGAAGTTCCCACATATGCTGAGCACTTGTTGGCTGCTTTTCCTTCACTCTGCGGTCTGACTCATCCCCAACCATCTCAATTGGGTTGAGGTCAGGGGATTGTGGAGGCCAGGTCATCTGATGCAGCACTCTATCACTCTCCTTCTTGGTAAAATAGCCCTTACACAGCCTGGAGGTGTGATGGGTCATTGTCCTGTTGAAAAACAAATGATAGTCCCACTAAGCGAAAACCAGGTGGGATGGCGTTTCGCTGCAGAATGCTGTGGTAGCCATGCTGGTTAAGTGTGCCTTGAATTCTAAATAAATCACTGACAGTGTCACCAGCAAAGCACCCCCACACCATAACACCTCCTCCTCCATGCTTTACGGTGGGAAATACACATGCAGAGATCATCCGTTCACCCACACCGCGTCTCACAAAGACATGGCGGTTGGAACCAAAAATCTCAAATTTGGACTCCAGACCAAAGGAAACATTTCCACCGGTCTAATGTCCATTGCTCGTGTTTCTTGGTCCAAGCAAGTCTCTTCTTATTATTGGTGTCCTTTAGAAGTGGTTTCTTTGCATCAATTCGACCATGAAGGCCTGATTCACACAGTCTCCTCTGAACAGTTGGTGTTGAGATGTGTCTGTTACTTGAACTCCTTGAAGCTGGGTCTTCCATTCCTGTGGCGGTCCTCATGAGAGCCAGATTCATCATAGCGCTTGATGGTTTTTGCGACTGCACTTGAAGAAACTTTCAAAGTTCTTGAAATGTTCCATATTGACTGACCTTCATGTCTTAAAGTAATGATGGACTGTTGTTTCTCTTTGCTTATTTGAGCTGTTCTTGCCATAATATGGACTTGGTCTTTTACCAAATAGGACTATCTTCTGTATACCCCCTATCTTGTCACAATACAACTGATTGGCTCAAACGCATTAAGAAGGAAAGAAATTCCACAAATTAACTTTTAAGAAGGCACACCTGTTAATTGAAATGCATTCCAGGTGACTACCTCATGAAGCTGGTTGAGAGAATGCCAAGAGTGTGCAAAGCTGTCATCAAGGCAAAGGGTGGCTATTTGAAGAATCTCAAATATAAAATATATTTTGATTGTTTAACACTTTTTTGGTTACTACATGATTCCATATGTGTTATTTCATTTTTGATGTTTGATGTCTTCACTATTATTCTACAATGTAAAATATAGTAAAAATAAAACCCTTGAATGAGTAGGTGTGTCCAATCTTTTGACTGGTAGTGTATTTCAAAAGTTTGTGTCTTGAATAGTGTTATCACGATGTTTTCATTGCTTCAGTAACCTTTATCACATACATTTACAGTATTATATTGCTTTACTGGAGTGGAAAATTAATCTTGGTTCTTACCATGGCATTAATCAACCAATGGTGGTACTCTTCAGAGTATATCGTTTGAATTATCTGAATTATGTTTCCTGTCCTGTGCAAGCTATTCAGTATAGAGCTGGGAAAACAATTGATTTTACCTTTCAAGAGTTTTATTTCCATTGTACATTGTGAGAGGCACTTGTGTCCGAAAGGCATCATATCAGATAATAGCTTTGTAAAGTGGAGATTTAATCCTCCTCTCATTCCAATGGCATTGTATTTGCTTGCAGAATAGCAAGTTATTACCACAATACTACCAGTGGGCATTAAGAGTACTAAACTTTGAACTAAACTTTGTAACATACTTCAGCACTTTTTGGTTGATACATTTGCCCAAGGCATTCTGCTCCTCCCACAGTTATTTAGTGAGTTGCCATTTTCTATTTGGATGGTGTGATACTAAAGGGCTAGGCTTAATTCTAAGACCACATGTCAACATAGACATACAGTAGACAAGCCAATCAGCTGTGCCCTGGGTGTAGCCCCAGGGAACACAGATAACCTATCAACTCAAAGGGCTGGGTGAATGTCCAATCCCAGAGCATACAGCAGTTTGCCAGTGGCACATCGCTAATTCATGCCAATTGATCCCATTTATTGAATGAACATGGTGCATATCTCTCTATATTACAAGTGGTTACAGATGCACTTGTCATAGGATTAACAAGAGTGCAATATGTGGTTAGAGCAGCAGTATTCTCTCGTGGACAGACTACGTAACATAAATGGTACCATAAGTCTGTTAGGGGCTATGGGATGTTTCGACTAACGAGCATCAGTAGTTTAGGTACTTGGGTTTTTCGTCACTGGTTATTTGGAGGTGTCAGGATTGAGCGAAGATGGTGAGAGTTTCCATTTACGAGGGTGTAGACTTCGCAAGTCGTGTTAGTACAATGTTTAACACGTCTCCCCCCAGAACATAATCTAGCATCTGACCAAATAAAGAAGATTTTAGTTCTGGGTTAACCGAGATTAGAGCAACAGTAGCCACACAATGTAGCATAGTGTTTTCAACTCTCTTGTGGGAGATGAAAGTGAGACAAGCATTGAAGCAACAAACTGTTGAAGTACAGTGCCTTCAGAATGTATTCACACCCCTTGACTTTTTCTACATTTTGTTGTGTTACAGAGTAGGATTACGATGGATTTAATTGTCATTTTTTTTCAATGATCTTAACAAAATACTCTAATGTCAGTGGAAGAAAAATTCTAACATTTATGAAACGTATCTTGATTAGATAAGTATTTAACCCCCTGAGTCAATACGTTAGATTCACCTTTGGCAGCGATTTACAGCTGTGAGTCTTTCTGGGTAAGTCTCTATGGGCCCGATTCCGACTTAGAAAATTACGCCTTTCTTACACATGGCTTTCCTACGCACATCTCAGTAGTTGGTATTCATGTAATGGGCTTTGCAGGCAAGGTTCCCTTGAGCGTGCTGAATACATTTAATTTGACCGCTAAAAACCTTCCTACTTGCTGGCAAGCAGATTTTCTCATTGAATTTTCATTCAATCCTGTATCTTTGTATTGACTGGGTGTACATTTGCAAATATATATTTAAAAAAAAACATGTTTTCACTTTGTCATTATGGGTTATTGGCAGCGTCGTCCAGGTAGGGAGGGGAATGGCCGGCAGGGATGTACTCAGTTGGTAGAGCATGGTGTTTGCAACGCCAGGGTTGTGGGTTTGATTCCCACGGGGGGCCAGTATGTAAAATATTTAAAAAATAATGTATGCACTCATTAACTGTAAGTCGCTCTGGATAAGAGCGTCAACTAAAATGTAAAATGTAGATGGGTGAAAAAAATATATTGAATCCATTTTGAATTCAGGCTGTAACACAACAAAATGTGAAATAAGTCAAGGGGTATGAATACTTTCTGAAGGCACTGTATAAACGAAAAGTTATTTCTTATTTATTGATTAAAATAAAAATAGCAAAAATGTCCCACAGCTGCTACACAAAAGTTTAGGAGCATTTGAATCTCACTCATCGTAATTTGCTTCCTCAAGAACTCAAGACACTCAGAAAAGTCTGACCTCATACTCAAGTTACTTCTTAAGAACATTTCAGTAACCAAGGACATTTTTCTCTGAGTCTTTGCCCAACATTTTATCTGTCACTGGAATGGATAAAGATCTTTCTATGATTTCTGAAATGCATTCTACTAATTAATTTGGAAAAGTAAAACCATGTAAATGAGCTCAAACTCCTTTAGGATGGGTTTGAAGCGAGGTAATTGATTTTTAAAGCTAATGGCTTTCATTTTTTCTTTAAAATATTGTCTTTGTGTATTTCACATTTGTGGCAAATATTATTTCAAATAGCAAAAAAAAAAAAAAAGATTATTAAAATTGTCTCTGACAAATAAATATGGATATTTAGAAGAGTAATTTGTTCTAGTTGTGGAG